TCTGGTTACCCCCAAAGACACAAAGTATTATGGGGATGAAAGTAGAGAATAGTTTGTATCTAATGACTTTGTATAATATCTCTGATTGTTGTGATAGGTTCGTTGTTGGGAAGTCAAAGAAAATGGCCAAACCATCCCTAAAGCACAAAAGACTCACTCAGGACCAATATTAGACTGTGCTTGGCATAATGTAAGAAAAGTTTAGAGGGAATGTCATAACCCACCTCATAATTTATGAATGCTCCCTAACAAATACCTTCCCTAACAAATACCCTCCTAATAATTTCTTTCYCTGTGGATAGGGTGGTTCATGTGGTAATCATATTAGTATGATCATASTGTGCCATTACTTTCTCAGCATTCTGATTGGTTGTTCAGAAATAACACTTGACCCAGCTTGTTCAATAGAAGTAATAAGATTTTTACTAGGGACCTTAATATCCATGACAGGAGCAAAGACAGAACTGCTAGACAATGACTCAAGCATGTTTTTAATTAAAAATACTTTTCGTATGTTTAGCACTTGTTCACATAGACCTTTGAGTGTCAAAGGATTGACCAAATCTATTTTGTTATTGCCTCGTTTTATTCTTTTGTAATCCAATAGGACCTTTCAGCGAATGTGAACGAATGCTAACCTTTTCATACATGCTGTACTGTGCTTGCCATTGCATGTCTCCTTGCTAGAACTTCAGTTGGTGCTTTTTTATGACCTAGTGAGGATGGCAAAGGCAAGATTATGGCATGCACATGAAAATGTGCTGTCRTCATTTTTCAGCATCGCAGTCCTCTCTTCCCTCAGGATCTTAAGGTCACTATAGACACCTTGCATGYGACGTCAAAGCAGCTCAATTTGGAGGACAAAACAAAACAATTTAAATCTTATGAGAATCGGGAACCTATTGTTATGTCCTCCACATTRAGCTACATTCCCACATGCTGCAAGGGGTCTATATCACAGTCAGTGATGCATACRCCTTTTTATGAATCACTGTAAACATAACCTTATTTCTTGTGTTTTAATTAGGATGGCACCAAAGTATTTACAGCTTCAACAGATAAACAGTGTAAAATGTGGGACCTTAACTCTAACCAAGACATCCAAGTTGCACAGGTATTGGGGATTACTATTTACTTCTCATCTTATGAAGAGGTTTTTTTAATACAATACAGTACAATACAATACAATGCAAATTGTTTTCTTTATACCATACATTACAATAAGGAGAAAATATAAATATAAGTATATTTACAAAAGAATGGTAGGGGCTACCTAGAATAACYATAAGAGCTAAAAGAGCTAGGTAACACTGTTTAACAAATAAGTTACAASATTTCACCTGTGTCTTTTTCTTTGACGATATAGCATGATGGCCCAGTCAGAACGTGCCACTGGATACAAGCATCAAACTATAACTGCCTCATGACAGGAAGCTGGGATAAAACCCTAAAGTTCTGGGATCTAAGGTCGCCAAACCCCATGCTAACTCTACAGTTGCCCGAGAGGTGTTACTGTGCAGATGTTGTATACCCAATGGCTATTGTCGGCACTGCACAAAGAGGAATAATCTGTTATCAGCTAGAAAACCAACCATCTGAGTACAGGGTACGTGTAGATCTTAATCACAGTTTAATAGAGATTTTAAGTGTGATGTCAATACTCCATTTTACAGTYCTGTTCCAAGCTAAGGCTGGAGTTTCCGCGCATGATAAAAAGTATAGTTTTGCTATTCGGGAAACTGCAGCCTCGSCTTGCAACTATTWTTCATGGTCACTTGAACAGAACTGTAAAATGGAGTATTGTATTGAAAAACCACTTCTAGTAATCTTAAAGTTTTGAAGTCTTTCAGTCATTCTGTTTTTTTTTAGCCCTTGTATATTCTATTCAARGCATGTTTGTTAAATTGATTGGTCTATTGAAAAATGATTAAACTCTACAGATTGAATTCACTGCGTTGACCTTTTTTATTTTTTAGAGAATTGAATCCCCCTTAAAGTATCAGGTTGGTTATAGCATTTATTATTTATTTATT